TAAAAAAAAAAAACAATAAAAATTAATTAATAATATATTTAAAAATAAATATTAATTTTAGTATTATTTAAATTAATTTAAAAAATAAAAAAAAAATTAAAAAAAAAAAAAAGAGAATTTTGATTATTTACGTAATTCAAATTATGAATAATCTGAAACACAACCCCCCCCCCCCCCCCCCCGTAATCAACCGTAAGCATTTGGAAATCCCCCCCCCCCCCCCCCCACCCCCCCCCCCCTCGGCTGATTACGTAATATCGTGACGACCCATACTTATAATTATATTTTGCCAATAGTTAGTTGTCCCGGTCTAAATGGTTTATGGTGAGTGCATTACATAAAACATATTAGCACTACATCATACATATTAATCGATTTTGTCCGTCATAAAAAATATCGGTTCTGTACCTCCAAGAGACAAAGCTAAGATCGCCGAGAGCCTCCCCTTCTAATCATAGTTTCAAGTGGCATATGTACAACGAACGATTTTATTACAAGACCATACACAGCGCTGTGTTGTGCAAGTAGCTTCTTTAAATGATTTGAGGTAAGACCCTCGCAATCCCCGGGACAGTTAATTGAATTCGTCGTTCATAAGGAAGAGCGTTCGTGGGAGCCAGACACAAGTAGAGACTTTGCTCTTTAAACTACTCAGGACAGACATGGTTGTGTAGATCACGGGGATAGAATGATAAAAGGACGCACTGGTTAAAAGCTCATATGATTCTTGTTAAACAGACTAAGCAGGTTTTACCTATAGCTAATAAAGCAGATATATTTATTGCCTAAATCATTCAGGGTGATCCAACTTAATTTATCCCGAACAGTTGAAGACAACGTGAATCGATGTACTTTTCGAACGCTGATTCCGAATAGCCCATGACATAGGGTTTTAAATACCCCCCCCCCCCCCCCTGCGAGAGATTATGGGCGACAAAACGGCCCCCTCTCGAGGGTCGATTCTCGTTAGGGTACCGGTAAGGGTTTCAGCATATGCTTTTGGTAAAGATTGGGTTAGGGTTGGGATCAGATTAGAGGGCTAGGATTTCGAATAGTCATTCAGGGCCAGCTGGAGAACATGTTAAAAAAGTCACGTGACTGTTTTATTTATTTATTTAGTGTATAGTGATTGATCATCATCCCATAATAATGGAGAAGCAATTTACAGGTGTCCAAAAAAACAGGCGACCAAGGAGTTAGTGATCAGTGTAATAATCAAGAACAGACGGCATATTTTATTATATTCGCCAGGGCCTGAGATAGTTATGACCTCCGGAAGGTCGAGGGGAAATGGTTCAATTCGAGTAGGGTCTGTGGGCGCGTGGCAGGGCCTCATGAATCTGTTTCACAATTTTCTGAAATCTCCGATCAGCATTTTTTTATGCTATCAGCTGTTTCTAGGTCATGTGATCGATGGCTTTAAATCTAACAGGAATCATGTTCAGAGAAATTTATTTGAAGGTTCGTGTGTGGCGCTTTCAATTCTTGATCGGTTATAAGGGTCTAAGCCAGAACTGCTTTTCCTGAGCGGCGCTCAGCCTGTCATTCCGCCGAATCTCTATTATGTTTATGAACATAATAGACTGGGGTCCCCAGGTTAAACTGCTTACACGTTAGTATGCAGGGCCCTTAACAAGTTGAGGTGATCAGCCGATCCCCCGCGAGCTGACAAGATCGTATAGCTGTTAACAGAGTGAACCACGTGATCAGTGATCGTCACGCAGCTCCTAAATGATACAACATACAGGATACAAGAGCAGGTCTATCCCGAACGTAGGGATGACCTGAGGTGCTTATCTCCTTTTTCAGTAACCCTAAGCCACTCTGTAGCCTAGGCACTACTCTAGCTGTGGGGGGGGGGGGGGGTTAGTCCTAAGAGCCAGAGGGTGCGTACCAAATCACAGCTTGTAACGGGCGACTTGCATCCGACCGGATTTGAACCCGGGCCTTCTGCTAGGGAGGCGTTCGTGTTACTACATGTACACCACCCGGCCGACTAAGATAAAGATTATTCATTTTAAAATTCTGAACAAAAACTTCTAATTTAAAACGGCCAAATGTGCTCACGCAATCCCCATAAAAATAAGCTCTTTAAGAAAAACTAATCAGTGTTATCCATTATCTGGCCGTTTTAAATGAATATATACCAAATGAGCAGGTTACTGGTTGATTTTTTGCAATGAAACTTTCAAGAGATTTCAGAGCACAAAGCACATGAATTGAGATTATTTCATGTCGTGAGGTTGTACCTGAGGCGAGGTTATTAACAAAAGTACCTTCGTGCCTTTTTGCGACGCTCTGGGGTATAGTATATTCTAACATGTAACACAGAAGCGAGGAGTTGAAAAACATATATACGCGTGCGCAAGTGCTAGCTTGAAGGTGCGTCGTGCGCGCGACCAGATAGGATTTGTACATAAGAAAGCGTGGTGAAAATAGAAGCCATAGCCGAAAGATAGGTACGGAGTGGATTGGGGCCATGACTTTTGTCAACTGAATTCCCAGACGATCGACACTGGGAACGCACAAACACCAAAATTCCGCATTTTGACAAAGATCAAATAAAAAAACAGTGTATATAGTTATAATCTGGTTGATAACAGAGAAAGTTAACCTTTATTACAATCAGTGCCTTCGTTGTTACCACAAAGTTTATGCAAAATTCTTTCAACTTCTCCAAAATTTAAATCAAATAAGAAATTAAAACCATATGCCTCAAACCACTGTATTCTGGAAAGTGGAATGGTCGGTTAATATCAGTGGGTTTGAAATAGCTAAAAGTCGTACAATGTCACTCTAACGCTGTCTGATGAAGACACGCTGCTCGTCTGCAGAACTAACCACTTTGAGGACGCTTGTTTGCTTTCTCAGGCCTCCTTCTGACGACTCGTCTACAGGTGAATTGTTGGGTTTTGGAGAGAGGGGCTCCTTGCATGCACGTCTTGGCGGAGATAGGCTCCTTGCTGCACGTCTTGGCGGAGAGGGACTTCGCGCTGCACGCCTTGGGGGAGAGGGACTTCGCACTGCACGCCTTGGAGGAGAGGACTTCGCGATGCACGTCTTGGCGGACTCCTATTTCTTGGAGAGGGACTCCGGTTTCTAGCATGTCTACCAATCCCGTGATCCATTGTCCGTGAAAAACCTGTCTCGTGGTCTGGGAGGTGATCGTCTATGACCACGATCTCTCCTGTCCCGAGAAGGAGGGATCTCCTTCTTGGAGGAGTATCTGCGTGGCGGAGAATGACCCCTCCTCTCACAAGGGCTATTTCACGTGAACCTTCCTCACGGGGATCTTCTATCACGTGACACTAGAGGGTTGTTATGTAGGGGAAGGACTTTTCTGTTGACGTTCAGGAGACGAGTCCACTAGAGCTGTCTTGTTTGTAGGGCTTCATCCTCACTAGAGCTAGAGGGGAGGTTGGCCTGGATGCACTTTGTGGAGCAGAGGGGGACGCGGACTTGGGGGCTGATTCTGGTTCAGAATCTGATCAGACGACGAGGATGGGAGGAATCCCTTCTTTAACCGGGGATTGTGGTTTCTGTTTTGAATCAGGGCTCTAGCTCGAGGTGCCGTACGTATCTTTCTGGTTTAGGGCTGCCTGCTTTTGAAGGAGCTTTCGCTTCGTTTTTTATGGTTCGGGGTTCTGATGGCGAACTCGCGTTGACTTCAGGTTCACTATTGAACTACTGGATGATGATTTTTTTTCAGCTTTTTGTTGTGATTCTGTCTCGAACTAATGAAGGTTTCCGGTGCTTTTTTTCTGCGACCTTTTTCAGGGAGAAGGTGATGGTCGAGCTGGTTCAGGAGCCTCTTCTTCGAGCACTCGAACTATCACGCTCTTTCTGATCGACTGCTTCTCTTTGGGCTACTTATTTCTTTGCGTCCCCGTCTCTTTTTCTTCTTTTCGGGAATTACTAGGAAGATTTGCGAGCTCTTCGTTTCGGCTCCTATTCGGGACTTGGTTAGTGTTGCTTTGTGTTCGGGTTCACTTTCAGGATTCTGCGGCTTCAGGAGCTGCTTTCTTTCCGTTTCTTCTTCTTCGCCGGACTGTGAAATATTTTTAATTATAATCTGGTTTTGTGAACAGAGTTTATTGAAAATTTCGACATATCTTTACTTTTATAGTTAGATCCTGGAAAATGGATTGTACTTTCTCAATATAAAAGTTACTATCGAAATAACTTTAGTTCCCAAAAATTTGTCCTGTGCCATTAATATTGAGCACAATTTATTTGAGCCCGAAAATTTGGGGTAGAAAATTTGAACTTCATTTGGGCCTACGGGTTATTGCCTCACAGAATTGGCTTAGCATCAACAGTATGGCCAAATTTGTTAAATGTAATTGTTAAACTAATTTTTATGTTATAAGACTGGTAGGTTTTTGTGGATTCCATATGAACAAAAAGTCTTCTGGAACACTTCCTGTGGTGAAATCATTAACTAGGACCACATTTTCTGGCATAAATATTATGTTTATGTAGTAATTTTCAAATTTTTGAATCCTAGTTTGCATTTTGGTGAGAAATTCTGGCACCAGTTTATGACAGAAGATGTTTTTAAAGAATAGTATTCATCAAAACAAAACGGAAAACATTGTTCATTAGGAAGAAAAAAAAAAATGCCTTAAAATTGAATACACGATCACAAATGGCCAAAAATATGCCTCAACAAAATTTGTTTTCACAATTTTTGAACAAAGGTTTGCATTTTGGTGGAGAATTCTGGCACCAGTATGAAGATGGATGTTTAAAGCCTAGTATTCATCAAAAAAAACGAACATTGTTCAATATAGGAAGAAAAAAAAAAAAAAAAACGCGTTTTTAAAATGGCTTACTACACGCCCCAACAAAATGGCCAAAAAATCTGCCTCAAAAAATGGCCAACATTTTAAAACTCCTTTTATTGATGTAGAATGTTAGTTTTGTTGGTCTCTAAAGTTTTCACAAGCTATTTCATCATAAATACACCCGATGGATTGGTTTATACCGCCGAAGACGATTTAATACACCGTAACAATCCCATTCGCCGTATCACAATTCCCAATACACATTTGTCTAAAAACCTGTTTGACGACTTCAGGTCCCGTAATGAACATGTGAGAAGTTCCTTTAACCATGAAAGTAAAGTCTGTTATTGCTGGCGAGTAAACCGCTCCACCGGCACAAGGTCCCATTATCAGGGAGATCTATAGTGGGAACTTTGTTAACTTCATTATATAGTGAGAGCTTGTTTACGAATAGTCCAAAAATGGAAAAAATAATCATTTGATATCGAAAGCAAATTCACAATACAATTAATCTATTGATTATAATTTCTACCTGAGGCACAACCCCAGACAAGAGCACATTCCTCAAGAAGATATCACCGTAACCACCCAAACTAGCAACACCCTCCTGTATCCTCGCTCCTCCTGAGTCGTTCAGTCCTAATAGTGGGGCTCCTACCATCTCCGCATGGTCCATTATCTGAGATAGAGGGAACAGTTAGAGGTGGTAACTACCTAGCTTACTTTAAAATAGAGACGGTAGTTGAGTGTGTCCCATATCCTAGCACCCTGCCTATAAGTACAGTACACAGGGTAGGTGGTTATTTCTGGCAACCCTGTATAGTCTAATCCCGGACCTATGTGGCAAGTTTGCTCCCTGAACAAAAATGAAAGGTTTTGACATTATCAAAGAAGTTACTTACTTTACATATCTTGCGAGCGTAAGCTGCTGAGAGACTGCCACCAAATACAGTAAAGTCTTGACTGAATAGAAATACCTGACGGTAATTATTGTAAGACTAAAGCAAGGCATGATTTGTATTTTGTATTTTGTAGTGTCCAGTACTGGGTTAAATCATGGTGCATAATTTGTGCTGTATTCAATAAATATTGTATAATGGGTAATGTATAGTTGTATGATTTCACAACTACAGCTTAACATGTTTATTGAGTAGGTATTTCAAATATCTTCATGACGCCAATACAAGGATCGCGTGACGTACAGCCACGTGTTTTACCATCGTATATTTTATACACTGTAGCTCGAAGTTTCGTCATTATTTTAACTCGTAATATTCACATAACACAGCAGCACATGCCTGCTTGCCATTGATGGTACCAGAACCAGTAACAACTCCGTCTCCAGGGAAGTGTGTATTCTCCATCCCCCAGTCAGTACAGTCGTGTTCTACCAGCTGGTCTGATTCTACAAACGAACCCTCGTCTAGCAGCACCTTTAAAATGTGATAAGAATTATTCTAAAGAATGTTATTCTATTTAACAACTTTTTAAAATTGGTAAAAACTATGTCAATATAAAAATATAAAGTCAGACAATAAAATTTCAGTTACATTAACGTTGCACAGACAATGAATATGAAATGAAAGTGAAAATTTAGTATTGTTAAGTAACAAACTTTTTATCAACACTTCATTACTTTACCTCAATACGCTCCCTAGCAGTTAATTTCCCCTTCTTATGTTGAGCATCAATCCTGTGCTGTCCTCCTCCTAGCAGAGCTTCATTCTTCTTCCTCTCCAATCTCTCTAGAACCACTGAGGTTACTGCTGTTCTTGAATTGGGCAACAGTTTTATCAGAGAGTGACCTGGAGTGAACAGCCTACGCAGTGCCATCCTTCAACCCTAATAGGGATTTATTTCGTTTGATGAATTCTTCCATGCATACTTGTTATAGTTTGTGTCTTGTCAACAAGGATCGGAAAAAAAATGCAAAGTAATTAGAATTCCTGAACAAGGTATTGACACGGGGAAGTAAAAGAGCTTTCTAACAATATTCTACAATAATCTAGGATAAAAATATTTAAAATTACAAGAGAAAACTAATACACACAAACGGGAAAAGATATCAACTCATAAAGTCTAGCAAACTACTATAATATACAAGTCAAGATAAGAACTGTGATTGTAATTACTTATTTTTATGATTTTGTTTCTCATTAGATACAACAGACCTACTTAAACTCGTAGAGAACTTTAAATCGGCTGTTAGGATAAATATTAAAAGCACTTTCCCATTTATCTATCTTGTCGGCTGCAAGCCCACCTGACCACGATAATGGAAACATAAATTTCAATTTAAGAATCGACACATGTCTGAAGTAAGTGTACATATTCTCGGCTCGAATCTCATCATGAAAGTGAACCTGCTCATTATTATACTCTTCTTTTTCAGTACACAGTCTCAAGGTCCACACTGTAGCTTCACTAGAAACTGTTTTAAGAATAAAATCACATTCACCAGGTAAATTACACGAAGTAACAGAGGGATGTTTAAAGTAGAAAATCAGTTTAGCTTCCTTTGATAATATTGAGCTCAACGGCTTAATAAGTTAATACATGTATCTACACACCCAATAACATGATATGGAGAATTATCTTCAGGGGATGAGCAGAACTGTGATAGACAATAGTTAATCCAACAATACCTTGCAGAACATAGGGAAATAGAATACAGACAGAATTGTGACGGCAAAAGTGACCAATTTCTATTTTCTGCCATGTTTGTCAGTTTAACGTAAAGTAGAGAAACGTCGACCGTAATGAAATTGTTCCCTTTTTCATAGACGTTGTAAATGTTCCATGTCCTCACAGCCTCTATAGCCATTAAAATATTGGTAACTGTTTCTGACACAGCAAGCCAATCCAACAGTTGATCAAGTGTCATATTCATATCCAGATCATGGTACAAGTTCTGTATAATATTACATCTAGACACTGTAGTAGAGGTAGATTGTTCAGTTTCAGGAATATGTTTTGCCATTCCTCCATCCCTCTCTTTTATAGATTTCTGAAAAAGCTCAAAGGTCCATATAATCTTTTCGTCAGGCAGTCTCTTAAGCAAATCAAACAGTTGGTCAAACAAAACAGGATCAGACTTTTTACAAAGATGAAGGTTCAAGTTATCCAGCAGATACTCCCCGAAAACAGGTATTTTACTTGACCTCTGAACTTTTAACAGTTCTACCAGCTGATTGGATAGAGTTTGCACTCTATGAGGTTACTTAGCATGTAAAATTAAATTATCTTTGTCAATTAGAATGTTGATTAGAGTAACTCTTAAATAATCGATAAGCCTAAATTTTTTGTGAGGCAGTGACACGGGAGTCGGGGAATTAAAGAGCTTTCTAACAATCTTCTTCTTTAATAAGCTGGAATTAAATTATTTAAAATTACAATGTGAGAAAACTGATCTATACAAAACAGGAAAAGATAACAACTTCAATCATAAAGTCATAACAGCTATATAAGTCAAGATAATAACTCTAATTGTGATCGCTTATTTTTATTAAGGATTTCGTTTCTTATTAGATACAACAGACCAACTTAAACTTGTAGAGAACTTTAAATCGGTATTTAGGACCAAAAGTACATTTACTCTCCCATATTTGTATCTTTTTGGCCGAAAATCGACCTAACCACGATAATGGAAATATAAAGTTGTATAGTTGTTTACCCTTAGTCAACTCCTGATGAAAGTAAACGTACATAGTCTCGGCTCGAATCTCATCATGAAAGTGAACCTGCTCATTATTATACTCTTCTTTCTCAGTACACAGTCTCAAGGTCCACAATGCAGCTTCACTAGGAACTGTTTTAAGAATAAAACCACATTCACCTGGTAAATTACACGAAGTAACTGAGTGATGTTTAAAGTGGAAAATCAGTTTAGAATCTTTTGATAATATTGTAGTCAATGGCTTGACACACGTGTCTACACACCCGATAACATGATAATATGGAAAATTATCTTCAGGGGATGAGCAGAACTGTGAAGGGGTCAAATGACACAACTTCCCTTCAGAATATAGGAAGATAAAATAGTCCAAAAACTGTGACGGCAAAAGTGACCAGTTTCTTTTTTCTGCCATGTTTTTTAGTTTAACGTAAAGTAGAGAAATGTTGGTAATGAAACTGTTCCCTTTTTCAAAGAAGTTATAACGGTTCCATGTCCATACAGCCTCTATAGCCATGAACAAATTGGTAACTGTTTCTGACATAGCAAGCCAATCCAACAGTTGATCAAGTGTCATATTCATATCGAAATCGTGGTACAGGTTCTGTATAGTGTTACATCTAGATACTGTAGTAGATTGTTCTGCTTCTTTGATAGATTTCTGAAAAAGCTCAAAGGTCCATCTAATCTTTTCATCTGGCAGTCTCTTAAGCAAATCAAACAGTTTGTCAAACATCACTGTATCAGACTGTTTACAAAGATGAAGGTTCAAGTTATCCAGCAGATACTCCCATAAAACAGGAATTTTACTTGACCCCTGAACTTCCAACAGTTCTACCAGCTGATTAGTTAGAGTTTGTACAACAGGGGGGGGGGGGTCCAAGGGGAACTTTGGGGAGTTTTGGGGAACTTTTTTTTGGGGAACTTCAGGAAACCTGGGGGACTTTCCCAAAGTTCCCCAAAAAATTATCAATGAAACAAATAATTTTGGGGAATTTTGGGGAACTTTTTCTTGGGGAACTTCAGAAAGTTCCCCAAAATTCCCCAAAGTTCCCCAAAGTTCCCCAAAAAAATTATAATGCCAAACAAATTATCATGCTGCAAGTATCAACAAGTAAGTTAAGATTATACCTTATAATAACATACATGTTAACATTAATGGGTATTAATGTATATTAGAGAAATTTTGAATAATTTTGAATAATTTTAAATAATTTTGAATAATTTTGGGGAATTTTGGGGAACTTTGGGGAGTTTTGGGGAACTTTTTTTTGGGGAACTTCAGAAATCTTGGGGGACTTTCCCAAAGTTCCCCAAAGTTCCCCTTGGACCCCCCCCCCCCCCCCCCCCTACAACACAGTTAACATCAGTACCAGCTAGCTCTATCACCATATCTAACTTCTGGGTTGACAGTCTGTCAGCATTCTCCAAATACTCGTCTATAAACTGCTGTTTCCATTTCAACATTTCAATCTTCTTGATTGCCACATTTAGATAATCCTTTCTTTTGAGGTGTTCTAACACAAAACCTGCTTCTTCAAAGAGATACAATAATTCTGTATAACACGGTGTTTTTATCATATCAGCAACTTCAGTAAAATACTCTGCACACTTTACAGTTAACCAACTCATTTCAAATACACTAGCTATCTTGTTGATGTCCCTGAATAACTCCTGAGTTATCCCCTCTGCTGTTCCAGAGTAAGCAGTATCAACAAATAGCTGAACAGCAGCTTCACTGAACTCCAGCATGTCCACACTGGTCATGTGGAGGGTAGTGGTCATGTGATCTATGACCGGGCTGTTGAAGGATAGGATCACTGAGCTGGCATGCACCTCACCTCCCTCACTAGTGTTCAGCTTCAAGTTACTATGAGTTGGAGATCCTATAAGGTGTCTTCCAAAATCCATCGGGACGTTCACCTTGGGTGCCATTGTTTTATTTCCTCACTGAAAATATTTCCTAGTGAGGTTACTTAGCATATAAAGTTGAATTAACTTTGTCGATTATAACGTTGATCAGAGTAACTCTTCAATAATCAATAAGCCTGAATGTTTTGTTTGGCAGTTACACGGGAAGCAAAAGAACTTTCTAAAAATCTTCTTCTTTAATAATCTAAAATAAATGTATTTAAAATTACAATGTGAGAGAACTGATACACAAAACAGTATTAAAGATATCAACTCTAATCATAAAGTCGTAACTACTATAATATATATGGACACGTTCATTGAAGTTTGAGGATATTGGTAAATATTAGTGACCCTACTAAATGGCACGATGATGTAAAATGTGTCACACTATAAAACTATATAAACCCTGAATGGTTAGGATAATCGTTTCATCCTCTAGATAAACTTTGTCGCATAACGATATCTTTATCAGACGATAAGATATCGCTTAAATGCGGCCGGCAGTGAGTTGTAAACTTTGTCACACTATAAAAACGTGACAGAGTTTATATGGACCCCTTGTTGCCGTGTTTGACCAAATTTTCGAATTTAAAATTTATAGGATAGTTGCATATGACTATTATCTACATATTTAGCGACTTTTTTCGTTAAATGGTAGCACCATGTAAACTCCGTCACACATTTAAGAAATTTATATGAGGGATGTTTATGACATCCTGACAAGAAATGCCGAATAGTCTAGCATTATTTTGTGAACTGAATGTGTTTGGAATTGTTCACATATTTCATTGTTATAGGCAAATACAAATACAGAAGGCAGAAATAGGTAAATTTAGTCACATAAATTTGTATGATATCTCAACATGTGTGAAATTGAGTAAATATTAGTATACCAACTTAAACACCCTATATTACGTACTATGGATCAATTAACAATATTTCAACCATACGCCGGTCATATAAATTATTATATGGCAGTGATATGTTAACATTGGCAAAATTTCAACACCTGAACAGGGTAAAAATTTGTAAATTTCGTCACAAAAAAAATATTATAACTTTATTTGCTCCGTGTTGGCAAAATAACTAATTTATCGACATAGTGATGGTGATAAAGTAACATTATATACTAATTGAGGTATGATTCTTCAAAATAGGGGCAAGAAATGTAAATTTCGTCACATCAGCCATAGCATTAGTTAGATAGATTTTCTTTCATATCAACTGCCCTTATTATAGCTAGAATGAATTTATACA